CTGAGGCGGAAGGATCGCCGGAGCCCAGCAGGTCGAGGCTACAGTGGCCGGGAGCAGCCATGCACTCCAGTCTGGGTGACAAAGTGAGATTCCAACTCAAAAAAAAAAAGAAAACCTAACCCAGTGTTCTCAAAATGGGTGTTAACTCATTTTCCCACATTTTTACTAGTGATTCTAAATGCATCACAATTTGGTGAAATTCTTCCTTGGCAAGAATTTGACTTGAAATGCCTGGTGTTACTCTTCTGTATCTTTGCCCCATGACTATGATAACACCCAAGATGGCTCAAAGTTTGCTAGTAACATTTCCAGGGGCAATATCGCTTACAAGTAAAACATATTTGGTGCCACAGACATAGAACTTACTTGAATTCTTGATTCCCGTATGCCTGTTTGTTTAGCCAGTTTTTTCCTGGTAACAATATCAGGGAATGGGTTCATCTTAAAGACTTGAACTAGTTTGCTTCTTTGAGTTTTTGTGATGAATAACTGGTATTGTCCGACTGTTTTGCATAAGTATTCTAAAGGAAAACAGGAACAAAAGGGGGCTTTCAGGGCAGTTGCACGTTCAAACCAGAAAGACAAGTTTGTGAAGAGAATGCTGACCATATTTGCCCTCTCTGAATTCCCTTGAGGTGGTGGAAGAGGAGGCCACTGCACTATGACAGGACCAAAAAGCTCAGAACTTGCTTGCCAAAAGAGCCTGCCTGTCCCAGCCAATTGTGGGGTAATTTTTGTATTTCTGACGCTAGGATGTCCAGAACAAGTCATCCCTGGTTCCTAGACCAAAGAATCTTTATGGGGAATTTGGGCACAACCTGCAGTCATTTTTCAGTGGGACTCTCTGAGGAGTTGCATTTGGACTGAAGGGTCCTTACCTTGAGTCCAGTATTGAAGCTGGTCATGCCCCTGGGTTTGGTCTTTTCCTAAGGAGCATCTGGACTCCAGTTGTCTCTGTTTTGTTTTGTAGTTTTTAAACCAAGTCTAAGTGGGAGAAGATATGAAAGGCATGTAACTCAGTCTGCTATTCCAAATATCAATTCAATTAAACAAAACTGATTTGATCATCTGTTTTTGTTTTATTTTTATTTTTGGGTTGGAGTTTCACTCTGTCACCCAGGCTGGAGTGCAGTGGCATGCTCCCGGCCACCGCAGCCTCGACCTGCTGGGCTCTGGCGATCCTTCTGCCTCAGCCTTCCAAGTAGCTGGAACTGCAGGTGTGTACCACCACACCTGGCTAATTTTTGATTTATTGTAGAGATGAGGTCTCACCCAGTTGCCCAGGCTGGTCTCGAACCCGTGGGCTCAGGCAATCCTCTTACCTCCATCTCCCAAAGTGCTGAGATTACAGGCATAAAACCATCACACTCAGCAATAATTTTATAATTCTAAAGAAGATTTAGGATCTTAACAACAACCAAAACCCAATAAACCACTCCTACATCCTCGGCATCGTGCTAAATGGTTGCTATCTCTTCTCTAATTAATCAAAATATTTTCTTTTTTTTCTTTTCGAGGTAGAGTCTCACTCTGTCGCCCAGACTGGAGTGCGGTGGCTGGGAGCGGCCACCGCAGCCTGGACCTGCTGGGCTCCAGTGATCCTTCTGCTCAGCCTTACAAGTAGCTGGAACTACAGACGTGCGCTACCACGCCCAGCTAATTTTTGATTGACTGTAGAGATGAGGTCCCGCCAAGTTGCCCAGGCGGATCTCGAACCCGAGGGCTCAGACAATCCACTCACCTCGGCTTCCCAAAGCACAGGATTACAGGCTGAGCCATCGAACCCGGCCAATCATAATATCTTCACTTAAGAGATCCTAAACAGCCGGTCTCGGTGGCTCAGCCTGTAATCTCACGCCTTGGGAGGCTGAGGTGAGTGGATTGAGCCTGCAGGTTCGAGACCCACCTGGGCAACTTGGTGAGACCTCATCTCTACAATAAA